TATATTATATATATATATATATATATATATATTATATATGTATAATTATATATATTTAAATGTATATATATATATATATTATATGTATAATTATATATATTTAAATGTATATATATATATTCAAATATACATCATAGTTTGGTTAGTTCTATTCAAAAATATTTATCGATAGTTCAAGAAAATTTTAATCAATTTAGGTACAATTTAGGTACAGTTTAAGTACAATTAGGTATAAGAGAAACGAAAATACATGATACGAATAAAGCACAAACGTTATTTAATATTCTTTCCATATAAATTGACTTTCTCTGGTTTTTTAATTTTTATGATTTAATATTCTTCATTCTATTCTTCATCAATTTATCTAGGTAGTTTAGTAATCGATATTATCAAATTTATTATTCGCAATAAAATTTTTGTCGTAAAAATTATGAATATTTCTCTATTCCTAATTCTTTCGAGTTAATAAAGTTCAAAAATAAATTGTTCAAGAAAGTTTGATTAATGTACGTGTGTAAAAAGTGATAAAAGCTTAATTTTTCAAAAGAATATTGAAAATGACTAATGGTATGGAAATGAAATTTAGTATTGAATTATGTTGGATATGACATATCGCTCTTTAAACTCACTTTCTTCTATATCAATTAGTTCGTATCACAGTCAGGTGTCAATTGAATGTATAGATAGATTCGTAATTCGTACTATTTGTGTATTCGATCATGTCACCTGGTAATATTAATTTGTAGAAAGTGTTTTATCGAAGGTATTTAACTGTAACTTTTAACCGAACATTTGGTTAACCACTGGAAAGTGTAGGTTACAATCTGATTTAATCAAAGCGATCGATCGCGGAAACACGAATATTCCGTTGTGCAACCAGCTCATAATAATTTGCATTCTGTATCGGCGTTTCTGTATACAGATATTTTGCACGCTTGAATATTCTCAAATGTTTGTAATGAATCTGTAGATTGCGTGTTTATGTCCGATGGAATTAAATCTGGGTGGTGTTAAACAATTGTTATTTGATTTTAATATTATTCATATTTCAATGTTTCGTTCCTTACGAATTTTAATATTTCGTACAAGTGGTTTGGTATAAGTACAATTTTTTATTACGTATTTAATAATACGAAAAAAGATTATTGTATTATGAAATTAGTTTTTGAATAGTTTGGTTTCAATTCGATTTTTATTCGTAGTAATATTGAATTCTACGTATTTTATGTAGAATTTTATTTTTTTCAATGCATATATATTTACATCTCTAATTTTGATAAATGTAATCCTGTAATCCAAAAAAAATCTTTTATGTAGCAGTAAAAATTTATTCATTTTTGATGTCTATCGAAAAATACATTGAAAAATTTATACAATACGATTTCAATCAAACAAAATTTTATTAATTAGATTTCATAAGTTTGTAATATGCTATATTTGTATATGCTATGAGTAGTTTAATCTTTGATTTTTTATATCTATATTTCACAAAACAAGTTTGAAATAATTAAAAAAAAAACTTATTAACTTAAAAAAAAAAATTATTTCTAGTATAAAATATTATCTTAGGTATAAAATTTATCTGTGAATTTGGACGATAAATTTTTATGATTAATTTTAAGTAATTTAATGTCATAGATTTGGATGACATTATATTATTTAAAATTAATTTATATAATTGAAATTATACCATTATTTTGAAATTATCATTAAAATAATAAATTTTGAGTAGCTGTAAATTCTTGAATTCCATTTAATAATAATAAATATAACGTTAATCTCTAATAAGTATAACGTTACGTCTCTAATGTTAATAAAAGTTTTGTAAAAATTAGGTAGATAAATAAAATAAATATTCCACATCGTTTTTAGCAATAAAAAGCTCTTTCCATAATGTCGTATAATTACAAATGCCTGATTAATTGTAATCATTATTAAATATTATTAGTAATCCTCATATTATCGGGTCACCAATAAATTACCATTAACTGATCATCTACTTATTGTAAAATAATTCACGCATAATGAATCATGTTTCGTGAAGATAACCGTATGTTATATACATATGTTCATGAAACGATTACAAGTTTGGCAAAATTAATTGATACATTTAATGTTTTAAATCGTAAATTACATTGCTGTTATTTTACGCATATAACAGAATGTTTTCGTTATGGAGTTAATTATATGGTATTTTTGAGAGTTGATTTCACGTTGCAGTACATCAGAAGATTTAAAATAAATAGTAAAAAATTTTCATCCAGTTTCTAAGAGTATATGATTTATAATAGCATTTTAGTACAAATTATATACTGGAATAAATAAGTGGTATTATAGCAAGTATGAATACCAAAGGGTTAAGGAAATAAAGATATATTAATTGATGTAATATTTTACTAAATTGCGATATACGAGACTATTTTTTTACTGATTTATGAGAAGATAGATTACATGGATCAAGTTGAAAATAGATGTAATGAATGAAATATACATAAAATTTAGAAAGTTGCTTTAACGAGGTAATGTTTCATTATTATATAAAATTCTGTCTTGTATAATCTTACGTAATCTATCTTCTACAAAAATTTCGCACTGAAAAAATACTGTTCGATATTAATAAGAATTATAAAAATACTTTTTATAATTCTTATTAAATTAATTCTATATTTACTATTAAAATATTTAATTTAAATATATCCAAAAAGATATTGTTATTAATTAAATTTAGAAGTAAAATTTAAAATAAAATTTGAAACAAAAAGAATATTTTCTAAAAAATGAGAAAACTTTAAGTTAAAGAGAAAAATTAATTCACTTTAGAATGCATCAATGCAAAGTCATATGCACTATTAGAAAGTGAAATATATCCTCATAGGAAATTCATAGAATAGAAAAAAGAATATGATAATAAAAACGTACTCTTGGTCGTTTCGTGGAAAACTAAGCTTTTTCAAGTTATTCAAAACTAATCCTCTCCTATGTTAGAAAACTTTCGATACTGAAAGAGACAGAAATTGTACGACCTCGTTTTCAGTTCTATCGTAGTAGCTCGGTTACCACCTTGTAAAGTGGAAATCCAAAGTGAACCTTAATTAAAGGTGGTACGCCGAGCTTATCGAGACTCGCTTTCAGAGCTATTTCTTCCATTTCAACCCTTTCTCCATCTTTATCATTGCTTTCGTTATATATACATAATATTTATATGTATATTAATATTATTATATACATATGTATATATATATCTATATTTATTTCCTTATATTCTTATATCCTATATATTATATAAGAAACAACTCATAATCTTCCATAAAGATTTTAAAATTGGTTGCAAGAATATAATTGGTCATGTTAGGTATTTAATATATTTTATGAAAAATAGTATGTTAATAAGGAAAGCAATATTTTGATATATATTTTTCTATTTTGCTTTACAGTAGTCTGAAACTCTTGTTGAAACTCTTGTTGAAAAAAAAATATAAAATGCATAGTAAAATATATAGTAAAATTAAATTAGTAGAAGGTTAGATACTTTTGATATCAAATATAATGGTATGATAATAAGAAAAGAATTGAGGATATTTTTATAATATATGTATGAATAATAACCGGAAATGTTAATAGATTTTCAATAAAAAATATTAAAGCAAGATTTATTAAAAATCTATATATTGGATAATTCTTTATTAAGAAGAAAACAATATCCATAGGTTTAAACAAATTAGTCATCAAGATAATTTTCTAATTAGGATATTGTTTAATATATTTCAAACATGTTTTTATATATTTATCACTATATAAATTTTAAA